GAACTCTCGGTTTCGCTCTTGATCTTTTGATTCTTTGTTTTTGGTGTAAATCGAACACATTTGTGGAGTCATTTAAATATGTTGGATTTTAAACTGTCACACAATTTTTTTCATTGATAGATTGTAATCGGAACCATAACTCTTATGTATTCAAACTGTATTAATATGTAAAGACCAAGTGTAACTTATATCGTCGTTAAATCTTTATAATAAAACCAGTGAAGCTTCAAAATCGTTAAAATTCACGACTCCCGCCGCATTGCACAAGTACACAACTAGTCATTTGGTTAATTTATTTATACTATATTATAAAGCATTTGACAAAAACTCTTAAAAATCATTTTTTATGCATGAAGTACTGTTTATTTATGCATATTTCTTAAAAATTCAAGATTACAAGTAAATTGTGCATAAATACAACTTATTAACGCTCTATGTTTGAATTCATGTAACTAACTGCGGATAAACATAATCAAATAAAGAATAAACATCTCATTTTAAAATATAAAAAAATCTAAAATATAATTAAGATAATTATTGAGTTCTAACAGAATACTTAATTATTATCTTTATAAAAAAATATTTTTAAACCTAAATTAAGTTAAATTAAATTATAATAAAAAAACTTGAATTAAAAAAAATATACAAACAAGAACTTTTAAATAGTTAATTTGATACTAATATTGATATATTTTTCACAAATTTTATATGATATTTTCAAATTTATATTTTATTCAAAAATAAAAACATTATCGCTTTATCAAAACCACATAAAATCGTATTTATATCGACATGGATAAACAATAAAATGAAACATTGAAATTGAAATGTGTCTCGATGCATTGCACGAATACCTTTCTAGTTAAAACAAATATATTTTAATTTATTTCAAAATAGATCTTAGTTAATTAATTAACGGGTAGGTAAGAATGATTCCTTCTCTATGTTTTGCTAGATGACCGTGTCAGATTCATTTTTTTAGTTTATTGGAACGAGACTCGTAAATAAAAATAACATCTCAAAAGAAACTCAAACTCTAATCTTCCAGTTTAGGATAATAACATTTCAGTTATTTGCCGACCGGGGCACAGCCGTTTTGTGACAGCTTGTTATATATCAAAAAGATATCAGATTTGTGAGCTTTATATAAACTTTAAGTTATGGGTTATCAATAATGTCTATTTTAATTATATAAATTGATTTGAATGTTATTAGATCAAGCTACTGCCTTAAATATGGAATATTGAATAAAGTTATTTTAACCAAATTGATCATCAACATCCACTAGCTTAACATAATTAAAATAAAAAGAAATACTGATATTGCCTCTGTCATGTAGGTCAGTCGACAAAGGCATTGGGTGAGTTTGTTCAAATACAATATAGGTTTCGAGTTTGACCTCGTGACACTTGCCTCAGTCGCTAAGTGAGCCAAAAAATGTCCCTTCATATTACTGTCTTTAAATACGGGTTCCCTATGGGATCCAATAGAGTTGTCGATAATTAACTTTTTTGTCCAAAATATAATAGGGTTAAATTCATGAAATAACAACCTACTTTCATAAATTTTTCTTATTATAGCATTCTACTTTTGTTTTTCTTTATTACAACAATGTATTTCCAAATTATTTTTTATTAAGACATCGTACTTACCAAAATCTACCCATAATAGGAATGGCTAACCTGTTACCTTTTAAACCGGTTAACGCCTTGATTTTTTTTGTTTGTGGCTTTAATGAAATGATGTGGATGACACATCATTTTGATGACTTAACTTAAATAAAAATAAAAATCTATTTCAAATTATTATTAGTCATTTTCGTTTTTCATTGTTATGATTTAAAAAACATATAATTTTTTGACTTTTTCTTATTAAGTTGCATACAAATTAAATATTTTAGAGTAAAATATTTCTTAAATAAATATAAAACATTATTTTCGAGATATATTTTATTTGTAAAAAATGTAACGCTTCTTATTTAATATGGTTCAAATAAATACATATCTTTTAAAGTTCTCTTTAAAATATTAACAAAATAAATTGTGATCTATAATTTTTTAATATTGTTATATTAATAAATAATTCAAAAAAAATCTAATTAATTTAATATATTTATACGTCAAGTAAATTTTTTTGAACAAATATAATATATTTTTTAAAAGATAATGTTTTTTGGTAAAAAGGAATAATTCTTATTTTCTTTTTTCAAAAAACACTTATTTTAAAAAAATTAGTGAGATAAGTTGTGTTCTACTAGTTTTATTGATATTGGTATATTAATGAATAATTTAAAATTATTTTAACTCATTTAATATATTTATTAAATAACATGTAAAATATCTAAATATTAAAATTAAAAATACAGTGTTTAATAAGAACTAGTAGATGCTATGATAAAATAATTTTGAAAGTACAATGATGTAGTAAAAAATTCACATCACTATATTATATGTGGACAACCTACATGGACAATGAGGTGGCATGAAAACCTGGTATAATGGGTAAATTTAAATCAAAAGGCTACTCAATGCTATAATGAGTAAATTTTTCAAAGTACAATGTTCTAATAAAAAATAGTTTGAAATGACATTGCTATAATAAGAAAAAATAAAAATACAATACTATAATTAGGGGTGCTCAAAAACCCGATGAACCCGACCAATCCAACCCGAATTTAAAAAAAAAACCCCAACCCGAGGTAACCCGATGCATGATCGATAAAAAAATTAGCCAACCCGACCTTATTGGGTTGCAATCGGGTCAGGCCCAAAAAAACCAGACCAACCCGACAACCCGATGAACCAGACCTTAACTATAGCTTTGAATTGTAGATGACAATCATGACATGACCAACCTCAACGTCAAAAAAGCGAAAGCATCGGGGTTGAAAACGTCTAAAACTATTATTGTTGATTGTTGTATTATCATTTGGTTTAAACATTTTTATTGTAATATCTAAATATTTGATGAACTTGCATATTATCTTGAATGGTCGGTCGTATTTCAAAGGAAAGTTTTCTTTATTTTTATGTGATTTTACATTGTTTAAACACAACCCGATCAACCCGAACAACCCGAACGGGTTGGGTTGGGTTGGGTTGGGTTGGGTTGGGTTGAAAATGTTCAAACCGCTAACATTGGGTTGGGTTGTTAAAACGGCTCCAACCCGATCAACCCGAACCGTGAGCACCCCTAACTATGATAAAGAAATTTATGAAAGTAGATTGCTATTTTATGCATTTTATAATCTTATAGATGTAATTGTAAAGTAAAAAAATGGAATCTGATTCTCAATTGGGTGTCTTATTGTCCATTTCATGAAATGAGATTACAAATATACCCATACAACAATTTTTAGATTACATTTCTTGGCTTTCGCGCATCTTCTAATTTTCGATATTTTGATTTTGTTTTGCGAAATATTAGACTTTTTGAAATATTCAAATTTAATTTAATTTGTTTTTTATTTTCTTTTGAATCATAGGTTTTTTTGTTTATAACAACCTATATTGAAGATGCTTTTATAAAGTTTTGACGTACAAATAAATGAATAATCATTACAACACATATGAACTAAAATATTTACTTATATATATATATATATATATATATATATAGATAGATAGATAGACTTGGAATCATGTGAAACCAAGAGTTTTTTGTGAGCCCCGTAAAACCAATTCTCAATCCTTAGATTAAATCTACAATCTGAACATTCATAATCACAAAATTGACATGAGACTTCTTAATAATCATAAAATTGACACCGTGCAACTTTAAATTATTAGATCATTAACTTATAAAATTGATCAATGAACATAAATTGGTCTTACGGGTCTCACGTGAACCCAACCCTATATATATATATATATATATATATATATATATATATATATATATATATATATATATATATATATATATATATATATATATAAGGTGGAGGTTCAAACGAGAACACTTTCATTTTACGAGAACGCGAGAACGCAAGAACACCCTTATCACATGTGATAATACGCGTGAGATGACCATGTGATATGCGGACGACGTGTTCTACGACTTAGCTCGCGCCAAAGATTGTCTGTATCTATGATTTAACATCACATGTGATAGTCTTGATGGATTATGGTATCATATCAACAACACTCTTATCACATGTGATAATGCATGTAAGGGGGCTTAGTGGTGTAAGCCTGTAAGGACGACTTGGCTTTGCATCGAAAATCGCCCGCGTCTCTGATTTAATATCACATATGTATCATATGTGATGAAATATTGGAATAATAGTATTACATGTGATTGTCTATAGTAAAAGAGTGTTTTCACATTCTCGTAAAATGAAGGTGTTATCGTTTAAACCCTTTCCTATATATATCATACAAACAATTTAAATTAAAAACTCTAACAAAGAACTAAAAATAAAAGAAATATGTTAGGGTAGGGAACACCTCCAACCGCCGGCTTTCGGCAATTTTAAGAAGTTTGTGAACGGCATAGGCATATGTGCCGTGTGGAATTGAGGACGGCAAAACCAAAACCACTATCTCCATTAAATATTTAGCAAATATGTTTATTTTTTTTAAATATATCCTATTTTATTTAATTATATATAACTTACCCCATATATATATATATATATATATGACAAATATTTGTTTTTTTTTTAATATTCATCATGTTAATTAATATATATATATATATGTAATTATGTATATACATATATGTAATTAAAAATTAAAACTGAAAATAAGACAAAGAAAATTTGACATTAACGTAAAAGTAATAAAATACAAATTCATAACAGAATGAAACATACATAATACCAGATAAGGGTGGTTTCATAATGGAAAATCTAAAAACCATGACATAAATTAAAGTGTCTATTGGTTTAAGCTAGTTATATAGTGACTAAAGTTTTATATCACATTTCAAGATCCTTCGGCTTCGTCTTAAATTCCTTCTTCAGATGCTCGATATTGAGATGCTTGGTATTCTGGTCCTTATCCATATGTATCAACTTGATGTTCTTCTGTTCTCTTTCTCATTATTCGGATTTTTTCATTTTTTATAAACTCAGAAAACACAGAATCAGAGATAGAATTTAAATCAGTGAACAGAATTTTGTCATCTGCCAACCTTGTATCTATTGCATTTCTCTCAGCTTGAACTTCATTACTTTTCATGATAGCTTCACTGTTTTTGTTTATAGCTTTGCTCATTTTTTTACTAAGCTTGACTAGAATCTCTAGCTTATTATCATATTGGAGCTTGGGTTTTGCTTTTTTTACACCAATTGGTCTTTGAGTTAAAGTAATACCTTCTTCGTCGTTAAGATTCAACAAAGGTAAACCACTATCTGTCCCTGACGATGAACCAGGACCAGGAGAAGGTGATTGATAAGGACTTTGGCGTTGATATTGAGGTGTTGCACTGACATTTGATAAATTCTCACAATCTTTCATTAGGTGCCAGACATGATCAAACTTAAAACCCTTTTTGTAGGATGCGTCTAGTTTTAACATCTCCTTCGCTTCGTTCATCTATGAAAAATACATGTTGTATTTAAATTAACAAAACAATTAACAACTAGAATGATAAATACTTACGATATCTTGTTCAGAAGCACCACTTGGATTCCCATTTCGAACTTGATTGATACACCATCGTAATTTTTTGGTAGCTTTCTGAATGCAAAACATTCTCGTTTCCAATGATCTTCTTGGTCGATGATTGGTTGCGAACGACTCAATCGCATGATAGTGAGTTTCTATTCTTGCCCAAAACTTTTCTTTTGATTGGTTTCTACCTATTATTGGATTTTGAGATACATCAAGATAACAATGACATAAATGTATATCTTCGTTATCTTTGTAGGATGAACTTCGGACTGATGGAGACATTTTTATGAAATAATATGTCGATAGAAAACTAAGCTAAAGATGATATGTGTGTGATTTGGCTTACTGAATCACCCCTATTTATATACAAAAAATTCACTTCACTCCAAAGTCATGACAACTACTTTTTTTTTTTTTTTTGGTTGTATTTTGGATGTTATCCAAAGTCATGACAACTACTTTATCCAACAAATGGATGAATGCAGCATACTTGGATTGTCTGTTTTTCAAAAAGTAACTACCGTTTTTTGAATGTTGGCATATGATGTTTCTACAGAGTCTACAGATGAGTACATTAAGATAGACGAATCCACAGTTTTAGAAGCTTTTAGATGATTTTGCATGCTATTATGAAGGTGTTGGGAGACCGCTATCTACAAACACCCGATGATAATGATGTGACACGACTACTTCAAAGTGGAGAACGACGAGATTTTCCAATAATATTAGGTAATCTAGATTGTATGCATTGGAAATGGAAGAATTTTCCAACAGGTTGGGGATGACAATATTTCGGTCGTAGTAGATCTCTAAGTGTTATTTTGAAAGATGTAGTTGACTATGATCTTTGTATATGACATACATTTTTTTTGGTTTACCAGAGTCCAATAATGACATTAATGTACTGGAGTCCTCTCATATTTTTGCAAATTTTGTAGCATGTAATGCTCCTCATGCTAATTATGATTGTCAAAGGAAAATCGTATAATATGGATTATTATTTAGCTGATGGTATATATCCAAAATGGATCACTCTCGTTTAATCTGTTCATGATCCACGTGGCGCTAAAAAAATATTTTGCAATGAGACAAGAATCATGTAGAAAAGACACGAAACGTGCATTTGACGCATTGCAATCAAGATTTGCATTGATAGCATGACTTGCACGGTTATAGAATAAGGAAATATTGCATGATATAATGACTTCGTGCATCATTATACATAATATGATCATAGAAGATGAACGTGATATTAATGCACCAATCGAAGAACGATGTGAAGTGCCAGATATGGGAATTGAGATGGTAAACAATAAAATGTTGGATTTGAACAGTTTCTTGCTCAAGATAAAAATATCAAGGATAAAGACACTCACTTTGAACTTCGAAATGAATAAATTGATCATTTGTGGAATGAGTATACTAATTCGGAGAATTAGTATAATTTACGTGTGTTTTCAATTTGTGTTATTTGAATTAATGTAAAATTTTCGGTAAAACATTAATTAAAAGGTAAACTCTTTTTTATATATCAATATTTAATTGTCTCAAACAACAAATTTAGATTTAACATCAATAGAATAGCAAACTGAACTTTACATTAAATCTAGGCCAAGATTGGGTATTACTAAAATTTAAATACAATTGTTATTCCAAAATACGGAAGATGGTTCTGATAGCTATTGAAAGTAATTCATTTTTTATTAATAGACAAAAAATTTTGATTTTTTAAATAATAAAATATGTAAGTTATAGGGACCGAAAATGTAATTTACTCATATATATATATATATATATATATGTGTGTGTGTGTGTAGAGACAAACACACTCATACACAGAACTCAACCCTGAAAGCTTCAAGACTCTAGCCTCTCTTTTTTGACTCTAGCGTTCTTTTTTGGCGTTGGCCTGCTTCTCCGACGCTAGTCTCTCTTCTCAGTGACCTAGGTTTAGACAGAAGCCACCCCTCGAAACCTTTTTTCTCAGTCCCAACCTCACTGTCTTCTATCTCCGCTCTCCTATCGTCGGTGACCCTCTCCGCCTCCCCTTCGTCTACTTCTTATTCCCCTCAAATACTCCTTTATTGCAGCCTTATCACCAATCTCCTCTACCTTCATCTCCCATCTTCCCCCTTTCTGCCTCCCTCCTCTTACAACAAACCATAGGGACCAAATTTGTAGTTTAGTCAAAAATAAATAATCATAAAATAAACAAAAATGGTTAATTGACCATTTTGTCCTTGTACTTAACGGAGATAACGGACGGTCGAGACCAAATTCAAGACAAATTGTATAGGTGGATGGTTCTTTTGCAATAAATGAAGATAAAGGACCAGTTCCATAACAAAATGCCAGACCTCAAGGACCAAATCTATAACACCCCCTTCCCGAGACATAAAAGAGGTTATGTTCGAACTTAAAACAAACTACCAACATCAACATACATAGCGCTCTTAAACCATATTTAAAATAAACATTTTCAAATATGACAACAACCATGAACGATATCTCACTTTTTAGCTTCGTTACATTAATAAAGCCTACAATCGCCAAGAACGAACCTCTTAGATAGGATGATATTCTGAATCCCATACTTCTTAGTTTCCCCTTGAATACATGTCGCAAGAAAGAAATGCAGTTGAGCCAAACCCTCAGTATGCAGATACAAAGATAACAAAACAAAGAACCAAATGTGAATGTAACAAAAATCCAAAATTTGGACAAGGAACATACTTTTAATACGAAGCTCAAATTTCTAACACATACTACATCCAACTATTGAAATACTCATAGACCAAGCTAAAAGAAGTTAGACCCAAAAGCAAAAGAGCGATAACCAAAGTGAATATATCCAAATTCATTATATCACAACAGTAGATCTTGTTAAAGATCAAAATCGTCAAATCAGAACAAAAATTGATCACTACATACCAAACGAATCTGAGAAGCTAAAATCAAAATCATAAATTGGGATTGTATATCAAGCTCAAACAAATAATTGCATATGCTTGCGTTTCTTGGCACACCTAGAGATACAACAAGTGTTAGACATAAGCCACACAGGCATGTACATTCGACATGCACATCCAACTGTACTAAATCATGTGAGATGTGATGTTGGGCAGTATACTGCCGTCCACCCTACAAACAAACCAAGTATGCTAGGGCAATCTGTAAGCCTCCTGAATAAAAATACCGACCATACAAAAATCTCACATATACGATGGATCAAGTAAACACAATGAAGGAGAAAAATAAGAGATCTGTACATTAACCAATGATATATTCCTTATATGCCTTCAACGAATATAAAATCCTTTGAATCACGATCAAAACTTCCAACATGAATCCGACTTAAAACCTAAAGATTGATGCTTGAAACTCCAACGATATCAACCTAACTCTCGTGTTCTTTCTTTGCTTCCCTAGACGATTTTATGGGATTTTGCTTATTGACATAACTAGTCCTTTTGCTTATATAAGGTTTCCAACTGAACCAACAATTTACTTGCTTATTAATATCATATAAATTCCAGGATATCACAAAATCCATAATTTAGAGGAATGTAAAATGCACATATTCCACCGTTGGTCCTTCACTTAAATCCTATCACAAATTTCTCTAAGAAACTATCCACATCAATCCTTGTGAGACGTTTCAAACTTGAAATCCTATGTTACTTTGACCAGTAAACTGTTATACAAAGTGATGATTGCAGTACATCTATAAAAGAACCTATACGTGAGATAAAAGATAATAGAACAAATAAATGGAAGATACATGCCTTCAAGATGCACATTTTAAGTATATATTTTAGCCTTAAAAGTGTTTGATGACTGTTTCAAGCACAAATCATTGATCTTATGCGAATAAGGTTATAAGCTCTCCAGTATTGAGGATCCACAATCCAGTTGCTACTAATTCTACTTATTACTATTTATTACAGACATTTGTGAACAAATTAAGCTAGTTGAATATGACCCTTCATTTAAAGGCCATTCCTAAGGTTTTGACCACAATCTCTTGACAACCGAAAACGAATAATTGTTACGGGACTAAGGGGCCGTTTACTAAACACTTACCCCAAAACGTTTACCAGTAAAATTCAACACTATCACTTACTTACTAGGTAAGATTTTAGTTAATAAAAACGACATCGTATGCAACAATTTACCTAGTAAGCGCTAACCGTGGTAAGAGTCATCGTCCTCACTTACCGGATAAAGCTCTTTGTCCTTGCCTTGTTCTTACCGGGTAAGATTTTTGGTTCTTACCGGGTAAGATTTTTGGTTCTTACCATATTCATCCGGTAAGTTAATGTGACTTGGCAAGCGCTTATTCAGATAAGCGTTTGGTAAACGGTCCCTAAGAGTATCTCCAATAGTTTCTTTAAAATTGAGTTTTTGTTCTCTAAAATACTCCAACAACTTTACTATCTTGCTCTCTAAAATAGAGAATCATGGAGAAAACTCTAAATACGAAGGATGAAGAAAGAGAAATGATTATTTTATTCAATTTCACCAATTAAATTGAATTATTATTTCCTATAAAAAGTTTTTTAAAAGAAAAATATATTGAGATAATAAATTAGAGAATACTATAATAATATAATTTATGTTAGAATCTCAAAAATAAAAAATCCGTTAAAGATCATGTAATTCTTTTTAGAAAATTTATGTTTTACTTCTCTGTTTTAAAAAAATTATAGAAAACCTGTCACTTCATTCAAGACAACCACTTGCTTTATTGTGTTTTACTTCTCTGTTTTAAAAAAAATTGACTAGAGTCATCGCATTTGAAATTTTGTGATCATAAAAGGATTTGAATCTGAGACCTCCAAATACTTTTAAGGTAAAATACTACACAATTGAAACTAGAGATCACCAAAACGCAAAATCCAACGATTCGAATCCTCATTATATCATAAACCGCAACAAATAACCCTAAAACGACAAAAAATTCTTTGGATCAGAGGGTTGAATCTTGTCGAGATATTTGTAACCCCGTAGATTGCTTCCGATGAAAGGTAGGAATACGCCTTCCCTTTTCATCGTAAACAACCGCCGCCTCCTCATCGTCTGGAACCCGACATTTCTCCCCTAAAATGATTGTTTTCTTCCAAATCGAATCCTCGTGGCTCATCTTATTCTTCGTGTGACGGCTTGCTTCCTTTTTCGATGCCTTCTTGAATCCCCCGATCGATCTCATGCTCATACTCGCCGGTAATTTCCCAATTTGCGATGCATTGGAGCTCGACCGGACATGATAAGACGATGCCCTTAGTTTCCCCATTGCGGGAGGCGGTGGAAGCGGTTCGATCCCGGTTTCCTGCCGGAGTGAATGCGACAAAAAGGGATTGTCCTCCTTCTTCTTCTCTTCTTCATTTCTCACCTCGAGATTTTGTGTTTGTTCTTCATCTAGCGTCGGTTCTCGAGTGGTTGATGATGTTGATTGTTTTTTCTTGGTGAACCCGCAAAGGGATGAGACGACGGTGATAACTGCGGCGATAAAAGCGACGATGAACGTGAAGGATAGGAATGGATGGTGTGGAGAAGTCTCTCCGGCCGGAAAGTTTCTCGCCATCGCCGATCAAGAAGATGGATGACAACATAAAGGTCGGGTTTTGGAGTAGTAGTAATTTTGGGAACAAGGAAATGATGGATCATTTCAACTGGATGAATTTGGAACAAGAATTAATGTCAAAAGTTGTCAAATTGATCCATCTGAAATGCTGTTTTATGCGAAAGAGATTGCTGGAATTGTGGAAGCAAAAGAACACAAAAGAGAGGCCAAGAACAAAAGCATGGATGTGTGTGTGTATATATATATAGATATATATATAGAGAGAGAGAGAGAGAGGTGTTAAGGTTCAAACGATAACACCATTTTACGAGAATGCGATAACATCCTTGTCACATGTGATAATACATGGTGTATGGATATAGTGCCTTGCGACTAAAGGTCGTCTGAGTCTATGATTTAGTATCACATGTGATGGTCTTGATGAATTATAGTATCATATTAATAACACATGTGATAGTACATGTTAGGCGACTTAGCGGTGTAAAGGCGACTTGGCCTACAACCTAGATCGTGTCAAAAGTCATCCACGTCTCTTATTTAGTATCACATCGTATCATATGTAATCGAATAATAGTATCACATGTGATTGTTTATGGTAAAAAAATGTTCTCGTGTTCTTTGTAAAATGAAAGTGTTCTCATTTGAACTTTAGGTTCACGTTATTTGTACAAACCTCATTCAACCAATCATAATTTTTCATTTTGTTCATTTTTTTGTAACTATGAGATGTTGATTAATTATTTTTATTGTGAAGGGTGTTAATCATAGATATTATCATCTTCATTATATTAATTTTAGATAAATACATGAAACAGTTCTATTAAAATTTTATTAGTATTATATGAAACAAATTCATAAAAAAAAAGTATTATATGAAACAATTTCATAAGATGTAATTACACGGTTTATACACATTGGACGGTTTGTACAAAATAGTTGGTTTGCATTTGTGTAGGTGTTTGAAAAGTATGTTAATGGCTGTTTACGGTTTATCAAAAGGCTTTTTACGTTTCATTTGTTTGAATACTGCTTGCTAAGCTTTCACCAGTCTCTACTTGTTATCTTGTTGCTTCTCCTCAAACTCCATCACGACAATAACAACACAATGCAGAAAAAGACCGAAAGACCAAAAAGGCAGACGAAGCAAACAGAAACAATCACGAAAACAAAGTTCAAAGATCGTAAACCACACACAAAGGCAACATTCGAATGGTATATGGCTTGTTCCTACAACCAAACAAAACAAATTCAGTATATCCCACAGCCGCTACTCGGTAATAAACATCAATTGCCAAGCACAACGCCTAGTCTTTGCACCCTCATAGACGAACAGATTTGATCACCGAAAAACTAACATTTTTGTATACATAATGGAACATCAAGCTCTAATCGACTCAAACATGTATAAATCCTATCCCTAATACAATCAAGCTTTTAAGGTTTCGCTTTCGCAGGAGATGTTACCAAATGATGCAACGTTGCTGTCTGGATGATGGTACTTGGGTTTGAGGTTGCCTCCCGACTTCTCAGAGAGCTAGCTTGCCGAGAAGCAAACGGCCTCTCTACCGGTCGCCACTTCCGGGGAAGAAACCGAACCAGCCGTGTTGAAGTTACCAATAAGATCACACCACTAACAATTAGCAACCTGCAGGTGGACACCAAAAGGAACATCAGACGGTACCAAACAAACCCCGCATATCCCACTCCAAAGGGATCCAAAATTAGCATAATCTATACTATATTATTAAGCATTTAGGTGTTTGTTCTTAAAAACTCTAGATTCTTAAAGGGTACAACTTATAAAACATTATAGTATAGATTATTAATCCACTGTGTAGAGTGCACGTGAACCCCCTATGGCCTTCATAAATCCGCTCCTGAAAGCAGGGTCTGGAGGATGTAGGCAGACATGTCCTCTACCCCAAAGGGTAAAGCTGCTATATTCGTGAAGACATGGAGTAAAATATCACATTATGATTTTATGGTCGAAGAATATCAAAAAGACACATGGAGTAAATTGATTATTACCATCCAAGCAAAAGCCAGAGACGAGATGTTGGGCTTTCAGGCAATCGTTCTCCAAGGGCAAGCATACCAGCAAGTACGCCCGTCACAATTGAAGCCACAGCAGCACATGTGGAAACTACCACCGCCCTCCCATGCTTCAACCCACGAGTCTGATTATAGGCAATAAAAATTACGGTTTGAATTAGGTATGGATGAAGTTTAGAAAATGAGCGAAATTTCTAAATGGGGAGCACAATGTATTATAAAGCTATTGAAAATGGTTCATGGAGGTGATGGGGTTATTTGAGAGACCTGGTAAATGAAGCCTGAAGCACTACAGCAGATACTGATTGAGATGCAAATAGGAACCAACAACGCTGAGAAGCCCTGCTCCAGGAATACAAATCCCATTTTCGAAATTACAGATGCAATCCTGCAATCAAGAGTTATACAATTCCAATCAAACCAATGTCTTCTGAGAGTAATCTATCCCCTAAAGTTGTTTCTTTTTGGTAGCTTACTAGATTTTCTGTAACACCACCAAACAGATACCTGTATCTCTATTAAATTTCTAAACAGAACCCCTTACTAAATGTCTAGGGAACCCTCCATTTTGTATTAAAAGTTCTCTAGTATAATCATATTATAGTTGTATTAGTGTATAGAATGCATGTGTGGCATTTTAGCTAGCTTATATGTATAATGTATGTATGCTACCAAAAACTGCATTTGAAATTGTGTATATACGAAAGAACTTTCGCACTGTTACAAGAATTCCTCAATTTCAAAAAGTGCATTCACGTTTCGCAGACCAATGTTGGAAAATATCGGAAAGTTCATATTTTATCTTTTTCTACCAAGTCATGCACAAGTAACGGAAAGTTCCAGTTGTCATTTGTTAAATGTTGGGAAATTTGTGATGAAGGTGCATATGCTTCAGACAGCATGGAAATGACATAAGTTGATTTGGTTATTTTCCTCCAGTTCCTATGGAGAGTGGGGTACCAACAACACAAATGTATATGCTACTTCAAAGAGAAAAATACCCGAACAAAATGCCAGATTCCAAGCCATATATGATCTCCTCAACAACTTCAGATTGCATCTGTATTAAATCCCAAAATAACATATAAGGGTCGTCAATAGATAATTCTATGGAAATATCAATCGTGTTGGAAATCTAGGATACCAGCTCTTGCTCTCTTCGCTGACGTCTGTAAATACGAAGCCATCCATTCAAGAGTACCTACATATAGAAGACTAAAGATCATAACTACGACATGAAAATCTATTCTTTACAAAGATGAAGTACCATAATACAGCATAATATACAAAAACGGAAACTTTTATTGGAATCATGTCGTAGAAAACATAGCTTGAATGATGCATCAATTTCCAGAATTAGATGTAACTAATTGTCTATTTCATCCCTTATGAGACAATAATTCTTAACCTATGCTTATCCAAGTAATTTAAATTGAAGAAATGGACTATGGAACCCACTATTCCAGCTACCCCCTCCCCCTGACAACACACACCAAAGAAAATCCTGGAAGGGGGTAAAAGATAAAAAAAACAGCAAAGAAAATTCAATCGAACCATTCAAATGCAATATGATATTTATTCGACATTTTTCCTTGAAACGATATTTTATAGAGCATCAATCTTGAAATTGTAGAAAAACCCCGTAATGCCTCTAAACAAGTAAAAAAATTCAAGCCACATTAGAGCAGTAGAATAAGGCATATGCCATATAGCTACTGAAGGTTGCAACACCAAACCATGAGATGGCCTTTTAATTGTTGCCTACTATGTTTGTAATTTTCTACATGCACTATAGTTTAAATAAATACATTTTTTCAACCAAAAACTAATATTAACAGCAAAAGGACAAATAACTCGAAGATTTCAAATAAGTCTGATATAAAACTTAGCCTCTCTTTAGGTCTGAAAGCACTGCACTCGCTTAATACTTTAACGGCTCCCACACAGAATTTTGTTGTTCTTCAAGAAAATAGAATCTAGTGCACAAACCAATTGATCATATTTAGTACGAAGGATAGTATGGATCTTCTATACTGAGTCATGAAGTGTCATTTCAAGGAACAAGGTGCACTGAGGGGTAAAAGTCTTCAAGAGAAGGCCCAAGGCAAGGAGAGAGCCTTATCGAAGTAAGGCACCCCCCTAATCGAACTAAGGGGCATAATTCTCACAAAACCCAATATACACACAGACATACACATACATGCATACAACAGACGTGTGTCTATGTATACCTAGTATATACGTAAATATGTATGTGTACACACACATCTGCACACACACAAGCTTATGTATGTAATATGCATATACATACATAATTGTATGCATGTACATATGCACATATCCACATACCTACAAAAGATTAAAGTAAAAGTTGAACAACCGAAGACTTATCAACATTAACAGTGTACATACAAAGATTCAAGGACATTTAAATAAAGGGTAACAACTAACAAGTACCATTTTAGTACTAATATTAACATTTAGTACCTAACATCAGGTAACTACTATTGCAGAAATAAAATGAACATATTTACTTTTATTTTGAAGCATATAATATTTTTACATGGCAAATTAAACTCACACACGCTCCTCACCTTTAGTGAGGTTTAAACCTCTAGAAAGGTTGGGTGTGGTAATACCGCTAGGCCAATGTCCCTTTGGTGAAAGATGTCAAGCAGAGCACAAGTAAAAAAACTACAGGTTAAAAGCTGCTTGATAACTTGGCCATCTCCATCACAGATTTTCCATTTTTGGACGCACCTGTGAAAGGGGAAGATATGTTTCAAGAGGAAGGGAAGACCAAGGTCAATGTTTTTGGCAAAGGTGAAAATGGTCAAGAGTTGAAGGAATGAAATATACCTACATAAATGGTTTTAAATAGAAGAGAATGAGCTGCATTTCGCGTTTTTTAAAAACCTTGATTGTTTCATCTCCTATGTCAATTTCTCATGGCCTCTAATTTTAGCCTACACCTAGTTCAAGATAGAATGTTTGTTTTTGCTGTTGTACCAGAAAGGATTACTAGAAACCATTTTAGACAACAGGAAAACCTAAAGTGAGTATTTATTGAATCCAGAGGGACAGAAACATGGCATCATAACACGTATTAGATGGAGCAGAGAATAAGATACCTACAAACAAAAATGCAACACCACATGCCACCCAGGGTAAGTGTAAGATAGAGATTGAGGAAGCCTTTTGCTCCTCTCCTCCAGCACCAACTCCTGCAAATTTCAAGAATCATATAAGCCTCAAGTCAAGACAGACATAGAGGACAGAACGTGAAATCTGAAATGCAAAAACTTATCACGATAGGACAGTAGAAATTATGATCTTATAAACCCTTGTTGTATGGCCCCTACGATGTCACAAACTCCATAGGCGCTAAACAATTTTTCTGAGCTCAAAAGGTCATTCAGATGGACTCCTACGGTCCTACCTGCTCTCTGCAATCTATCACCATCTCTTATGCTCAGCCTTTTTTTTCTCCAAAAGCCATTCCAATTGACTCGATTTCCACTCCCTATCACCATCTTATAAACATGGTCTCTTTCTCTTAATTATTCTTACATCTATGGTATTGCTATGAAGCAGCCTTAGTAGCTATGGTGCAGTACTGCAGTAGCATCTGAATGTTCATTTCTAAATTCTAATTCTGAAGTGGTAGGCTGGTAGCAAAGAATGAATCATTTGATCTTTTTGAAAGTTCATACATTCTTTGATTTAAACTGTCCTCTAGCTACATTTTTATCAAATGGGTATTTAACTTCTTATTTTCATTACACTCCCCAGGAGAAAGTTTAGGGGAAACGATAACACGAGGAAAAGGAGTAAACTACCAATGGACACCGGCTGACATTACCCATTCTATGGCCATTTTGCAGGGTCCTTTCTTACCTTTATCTGACAGTACTACTTCTTGATAATTCTGTTGTTTTACCTTAAGGCAATGGTACTACTTTTAGACTTAAAACTTCCTTTCTATACCGTTCATTCTCTTCTTTTTTGGGTTCTCTTTCCATTCATAAATCCCCTCATCAAGTCCCTTCTCCGTTCAAGGAGTGGCATATAGAACCATATGCCTAATCATCATGCAAGGAAGAGGCCAAGACCATATGCTAAATCATCATGCATGGAAGAAGCCAAACCACCAACACTATCACCCTCTTATGAAGATAATTGAGGGCAGCGACAAACCATTAATGTGCTCTTTCTAGTTTAATCCAATTAAATCTTCCTTAATATGTTGTGAAGAAAAAGCATGGTTTTCATATCTTTGCATGATGAATCATAAATCATGGATTGAATTATAGTTCTTGAAGAGCTTAAGAATAACCAACTGAAAAGATTGTCACAAAATCATTATTTGTATATATCTTTAACCTGCATATTCTAAAGCTTCATCTGCAAAAAAGTTATATCACATGAATCATGATCATATTTAGCATATAGTTTTGTTACATGACAACCAGAGAAACTCACGTTACCTATGGTGCCAAGGCCAGCCAAGGTAATTCCCATCCAATCAACAACATTCATGACTTCCTTCAGGTAGAAATGAGAAAATATGGACAGGACAGCAAGACCACAGCCAGAAACTGGTTGAATCACAGAGACCTGGAGCATATATATAGGAATCAAAAGATCGGATACAGATCTGGTATCATCTTGCAAATTAGCACAGTTTAAACATGCTGATCATAGCAAATAAATGTCATTTCTGATAGTCTACATTACCCAAAAAGGTTATAGGGATGATATTCTAGATATGTACAAATGAGTAGGATGAAGAGAACTTCAAAATCTATACAGAAAGGAGCTTGATCCAGCACACTTACAGGAGCTAGAGATAATGCTCGTAACATCAGTATTGCCCCAAAGATATCCATAAGAAAACCTATCAGCCAAGGCTTATTAGAAGCATATGCTCTTACCACCTGTAAAGTAGAGCATCCAATATTATTCACAAACCCTCAAGCTAATCAATACTGATGCAACAATAAGTCATGATCATATTCTCTTCAATACATGGAAGGTTGCAGTTAGATGCACATGCATACTTCATCTTTAATATTATGCAGGGAATGGTGTTTGGTTATGCAAGTGTTACAACTTACAACAAGATAGGTTTTACCTTCTAAGAGCATTCTCAATCATAGTTGCATCTTTACAAATATGAAAAATTATCAAATCAAAAGAAGAAATATCAACTCCATATTGAAGCCAGAGGTCAAGCCTGAAACTGTGCATCTGCTTGATATCTTTACTGCACGATATCACGATAAAGCTAATATTGTGACGAGAATGGTTCCTCATATGAGTTGGAACATCTTTCATTCATTAGGATTTAGGATGCCTAATGGGTTGAAAATAAAGCTTGCATAAACACAACCTAGAGATTCCTAGTCTCACAAATCATGTTTTCTCCAGACGACCCAAAAAAAACATAAAGGGGTAAAACTTTTTCCCCCCTTGCATTGCCACAATCCTCATAATTCGCTAAACAAGACACAAATGTGTAGTCTGAACTCGGAACCTCTAGGTAGCCCCGACCACTTGGGCAAGCCCAGTTGGCATCTTGGGAATTATGTTAACGCAAATCGCAAATCCTAAGTTCCAATTTCTTTTAAACAATGTCTGGTGGTTACCTTAGATATGGAAGGATCTTAGAAATGAATGCTGTACACTTTTACACAACTTAAAAACAGGACATCACATCCTATTTCTTACGAAGATTCTTCTTTAGACTTTTTCTCTCTCGCTTCCTCAATTTCATTCTTTTGAATCCCTGAGTTATTTTTTTACATTTTTCTCTAAATTTCCACATGAGAAGAGAGAAGTCCTTTCAATATAAACTTCCAGCTATACCATTTTGGTAGTTGAACGTATTGTATTTATGTTATTCAGCTTTAGTCATGCATATGGCATGCTAAATAGGTCTAGCTAATTTAACCAAGTACATAACAAACAAACAAAAAGAAGAAACTGTTAGTATTGCCCAAATACACCATATATTTTAGTTATGAACAAACTTTATGCTAATAGTCCACTGTCCTAATAGAAACATTCACTTGCAATTTTGAAAGACGAAACCTAGTATTCTTCAAATTAAAGAATTAGGCATCCTTAATTCTTTTAGCTAAGAACATTTTCAACTACAGACATTTTTTCATTTGATATAATCACCAAATCTCTCCATAATGAAAGAATTGCATAACGATTTCAAGCCAAAATTCCTTATTTGTGGTTTAAGATGATAAAAGTAGACTTTTTTCCTACCAAACGAGTTGATCTTAGATTGGAGACTGCTGAAGAAGCTAGTCATCCCAAATCCTACAACAGGTTCACAAATTCATATGGGGGAATATCAAATTAACCTACCTCCAACTCAAAATCATGATTGCATCAAGTATGACAGTTCTTAGGAATAGCTTTTCAATTCATCGTACTTATCTATCCACAAATTAACATATTTTACGAATCTACAACAGAGGTAACACTACAACCACATTACCAATTTTCAAATGCTTCGCGTATCTGATTTGCAAAATAAATCATCATCCTCTTCAACAAACGAGCAAATGAAGATCACAATGAACTTCCAATGAACATTATAACATCAACAATCCGAGTGCACATAAGACGACAAACAAAAGGCAACAGATCATGAGTATAACAATCTTGGAGACAACACATGCATACACAGAAAGACTACCGACAGAGGGAAGGAAAGGGATGCGTAAAAGAAACATGCCTTGAGTTTAAGAGAGAGAGGAGGTAGAATGACTGTCCCCTTCTTCTGGAGGACTTTGCCGATGTTGTTACCGGCGGTGGCTGCTACCGTCAGGAAGATCGATTCCCACATCTCACTTTCGCTACCTCTTTTCTCCCTCTCCCTCTCTCCCTCTTTTCACTCTAGAGACGTAAGCGTTGGATCATGTATGTTTGGTCGATTGCCGGAATATGCCCCATCTTTCATCCACTTCCGTTTTATACCTCTTGTTTTTTTAGTCGGTGATTCACACTCCTTTCCATTGTATTTGTTTTCCTATCAAGATTAGATGACAAGATTTGGTTGGTGTTTGATTGATTATACAGAAAATTTATTGATTTATTCCGATGTGGCATTAATAATAAACAATTTATACCGGTGTCAAATCGATAATAAGAAGTTTTTGAAAAAGTTAAAACTTATAATAAGTTGATAAATGCTTTTATAGAAAAACACAAGTTGTTTCAAATAAGCAATCTCAAACACCCCCTAAATTTTGATAAAGTAAACTTTGAATGATCCTGTCAAAAGGTGACTTATGAGAAGCATATATGAATTCATCTGTTGATCATCTTTAATCACAAACTAATTCATGAATCATGTTTTATACATAGATTGATTTTATGCATCTCATCCTGACGTGCATCTAAAGACGAATATTTCTTCTTACCGAAAACCAACCCCATGTAAACAGGGGCAAATTTTATAAAAAGGACTAAAATTTGGAATCAAAGAAAATTGGTTAGTATATGGTGTTTCATAGATTAAGTAACACATAGAAGTATTGTTCATACAGTGAAACGTCAGAGGATATTTTACATAGTAAAAAAAACACGAAAAAAGGTTTATACATGAAAAACACTGCTTATATGTACATATAAGAACAAAACACGTGAAACAATATGAACTATAACTTACATGAAAGGCACATGGCTAACTTAACGGAGCCTCATCTAACGGTGTTAAGATGAGAGACTAGTTTGAACACAAGAAATGGACCAATGTTGTACTTTATGAATTTTAAGGACAAAATCAAAAAATAAGCAGGGAAGGGACCAAAAATGCAATTCACTCTTGATTAAAATTAAGAGTAAATTATAAATTTGGTCCCTTCCATTTTTTATAACTAGGGTTGCTATACTATGTTTATTATGAATATAGTCCTACCGGTATTCAATATGTTACGATCATGTCCCTCTGTGTAACACGATCAATGTTCGACCATTGAGAAGGGTTAAGTTATGGGTATATCGGACTTTTTTCATTTTCACTTTAAAAGGATAAAAAAAGTAATATAATATATTGTAACCCCCAAAGATTTGAAAAAAAAACCAGGTAATTTAATTTTTTTACCACATCAATTAATGAATAAATGCTTTTCTAAAAATCAATAGTTAAAAGTACGGAAAATATCCAAAACCACATATTATGTGTGACAACCCAAAATTTGGTAAATAAGAAAATATAAAAAGAAAGAGTAAGAAGAAAATAAAATAAATTTAGTTTTTATTTTATTGGACAAAAATGTGAAGGAAAAAAAAAGTGAAAACGGACTAATTATCCCATCCAATAAAAGTGAGAAGTGAATAAAATAGTTTATATTCAATCGAACTAAAATCGTAAATAAAATGTTGAGTCAAGGGTAAAAATGTAAAAATAGTGAGAGTAGGGGGTTAAATGTAATAGTCATAAAGTAGACGAGGCCAAGTGTAATATTTTCGAAAGATGATAGGACAACACCGTAAAAATATGAATTTTTATGGGGAGTATTAATGGCATTCTCTTAATAGGGTGTGAATACATTGGAACTTAAAAAATCACTAAAAAACATAAAATGTCAATCAATTTATTGATATAATATATTTTATTATTATTATTATTATTATTATTTATATTAATATATATAGGATATATATCTATAATCTATATGTAATTATTTTAAATTATATTATATATATATATAAT